GCTTGTCCTGCAGCTATAAACAAGTGTTACAGTTTGGTCTAGATTCTCTCTTCTTCCTTTGTGGAGATTCCAAATATTTGGCCAGGTTCCACAAAAAGGTTGATATAAGAATGGTTGCCCTAGCTCAAATCAATAGCCAGGAGCTATGCTTAGGAAAGGAATATTAGCAATATTAGGAAAGGAAAGGAATTGGGAAAGGAATATAAGAGCAAGCAAGCAGCTGCACTTAGATTTCCAGATTTGGAAAAGAAAGGCTGTACTTTCCATTCATTTTGAGTGAATTTGAGTGAAAACATAAAATTAAAATAATGATTAGCTTCCTGCCATGTAGAAGCACTGCAACAATCCTCATACAGAAAAGAATTTCCTTTGGCATTGAAAGATGTATTTGATTACGTGGTGGAACAAAGGGAAGTGAGGATAGAAACTATGACAGATGAGTAACAAGGTTATTGCTATAAAACTCCTTATTATCACAGTTACAAGTGGTAGATCTGCTGATATGCTGCCTTAAGAGCCTGTTACTGCCTTAAGAGATAATGTAAGATCAAAATCACTTTGATATTGTTATCATTCAGTGTATTAATTTCCATGATCCATGCAAAAACTCGATTTATTCTCTAAGACTTTTATTTCACCTGCTCATCATGATAAAAGAAGGCACCAATACCCCCTCCATTTGCTTGATTCCTTGGAAGTTGCAACTAATTATTAGACTTAATCTTCAAATTTGTTCATGAGACTGGTGTCTAGGCAGTCATGATAGTTTCTGTCCTGTGAAAGGTATTTTTAAGTTTTGGGATATCTTTGGCATTATGAGTGTTCCAGAATTTCCACCTCTTTTACTCAGAGGTTCTTAGGGAAGACAGTAGCTTCAGTTTATTGCGGTGCACCTCAGGTAGAATTCTTACAGTACAGACACAGGAAAAAAGTTTGTTTTGAGATTCTGCAATTATTAGTGGCTAATATTATTAAGCAAAGTTAGACAAAAAGCAAATAGCATCCGAAGCTATTCAATGCATTTATAATTCTTGTAATAAAAAAAAATAAGCAAAAATGTTATGTTGCAATTAACACCAATATTTGCTTTCTTTTCCTACTTTTTTTTTTTTTTTCCCTCATCCTTCAGAGTGACTATGGCGTTGAGTACAGATGAGAGAGAGGTGTTTCCAACCTCTGGTACTTATTTTTGGCTCATTAAGTTTTGGCGAAAAAGGGGCACTTAATGGGTCTGACGTTCCCGGCTGGGTGGTGATTGATCAAAAAGTCAGCACAGTCATTGTTGTTAGCTTTTCTCCAAACTTGTAGTAACAGTACTCCCTAAGAGCCTACAAAAACAAAGCAATTAGGCTGGCGTGATAGGAGGAATGATGGTGGCTGAACTAGCGTTAGAAGGGAAGCCAGTAGCTTTCTGTAGAATTGCCTTATTTCTTTGGTGTGCTAGAGTTTATAAAATGACAAGGCAATGCACGTTGTGTTTAAAGTGCATTATCTGGATTATGCCAGTTGCATTCTTCGGGAATGTGACATTGTGAAATGAGATTTCCACACACATACAGGAATGAGCAGACACTTTATTAGCCTAGTAAAAATACAATCTTATATCAATAACACCCAGCCTCTCTCTCCATTTCCTCCTGTTTGTGTTATGTGTCTGTGTTAACCTTGTTCTGAGCCAGTGTTGCCAGGTGTACTCGCCAGAGTCTACTCAATTGGAGCTGTGAGTACCAGCCAAAAATAGCTAGCCTTGATGGGATACTCCAGCATAGTTAATAATTCAGAACAAGTAAGAATGCTTTCTGAAGGTACACACAGCAATTGGTTGCTGCAGCTTTGAACATCCACTGAAGATGAACCTGTAACTTCTGCAGTGCTTCATGTCCCTGTCTCTCTACGTAGGCAGGCTAAGATGGACCTGGATGGCAGCTGCAGATATATAGGTTCAGTCCCTGCCTTAAGTCATGAAGCTGTTGAGTACTCTTGCTTAGTTAGTTCTCTTGACTTGATTTCCCATCTCTAAAATGGAATTAACTGCTCTTGAATGGAAAGATTAGAAATACTGTATGCAAATTGGTATTGCCGTTATTAGCAGTAACTAATATCTCTATTGGATTGACTTGAATTTCAGAAATTTGGGATCACTCTTCAATAAGAGGCTGCTGCGCTGCTCTTACCATGTCAAATGTTAGTCACCTTTGCACAAACTAGATTTATGGAGCAGCGTCAGAGTTAGTCATATAAGTGTGCTGTAAATCCAGATGTTTCACTTTTCTAATTTTCATTTTAATGAGTGAAAGAATCTGTGGGTGCTAATCAAGTGTATGAGATCTATCAAAAGTGATAGAACTTTGTCTTTGCTTGGAAACAACTCAAATGCACAACAACTCATAAAATGGAAACTGGTCATTTAGGTTTTATCTCTGTAGGTTTGACTGTCTCCCTAGTTCTGATATGCATTTTATGAGTCTCTTGATAAGAGATTTGAATTTTAGATACATCCTGAGGGATTAAGTTTTGAGGGCTAAGGAAGAGAGTTAATGAGTCTGGGTTGGGACCTAGTAAGTGAGTTCCAGAGAGCATACTGCAGCTGGGAGGCTTCCAGGAAGAATTGAAAATGAAAACTCATGTCAGAGTCTTCCTGTGTAATTGGCCTAGCAGAAGATTGCCTTGTTTGGGTGTCAGTAGCTGAGTCATTCTTGTCTGAGTCCTAGTAAAGCTTTTAAAGTGGTGGCCCTCTTGGCACTTGGGAGAGCCAGACTGATGCCAGGAGTCTGCTGAGGCTTGAGTTTGAAAAGTGAAAGACTGTTTTATGTGAACTTAGGGAAGGAATGAAAAAATGTTATCTGGCCTAGTTCTGTGTCATGTTAGGCTGGAAAGTGTTAGATGCTGCTTGGGTCATCTGGAAGCTTGTGAAAGAAAATTGGGTGCTGTAGTACTTCGTTTCAGTAGCGCATCCTTGCCTGCACTGTGGGCTAAAAGTTAGGCATTCTGCAAAGTCGGGCAGGCAGCTCTGCAAATGGCAGCTGCTTCCATGCAAAGGTACATTACTAGACTTAAAGCCTGCCCAAGACACAGGAACTGCAATACTCATCTGCCAAGGCTGTCACTTCTTTGAAGAAGCCAGTCCTCATCTTTTTTATTTTATAATGTAAGTGTAGTACTTAGTGCTTGCTTAAGAAATGCTTGTTTGTGTTTTTTTTTTTTTCCTTAAATTGACTTCCTGTCAGGCAAAATTTCAGTCACAGAAGTGGCTTAAAAAGCTAGTCCAGCTGAGCTTGAGTCACTCATGAAAGTCAGCATTTATGAAAACTTTATCTATGGCCTATTGCTAAAATGATTCATAATATTATTTTATCCTTTTGGCTGAAGGTCACACGTGCCTTGTTGACTCCTAAATGAATAGCTTCATTTTACCTATTTAAAAATAGATTGCAATAGATTTATTTAAAAATAGATGTCAAAAAATTGATTGCCCTGTATGATGATGCCAGTATTATTTGCCCTTTGTGACTGGAACAGCCAAGGAGTCTTCTGACAAAATAGCATATAACAGTACGCTGTTGTTATATGCAATATGAAGCTATGCAGTATGAAAAATGCTTCTGGAGCTCTGAGACTCTGAAGAATTCCTTTATTACAGTTCTACTGTCATCCCTTGGAGAACCTGTGATGGACCAAGACAGTGGTTCAGGGCTTTGAGCATGATTTGGAGAACACTGTGGTGCGTGGCCCAAAAGCTTGTTTCGTTCTCAAAAGGGAAAGACTTAACAAGTAGTGAAAAAGGGAAAGACTTAACAAGTAGTGAAGTCTTTTATGTCTTCAGTAGCCTCTTTGCTTATTGCTTTCTACCCAAAATAGTCTCCTTTCTGGTGCCGCTTCTAACTGTGCGTGCTGCATCTCTAGCAAGTTTAGGGCTGTGCTATTGATGGATATAAATAGCTTGAATGTAGGAGGGTTTGCTTTATGTAAATTATGAAATGGCTTGTCCTCCAACAGTTTTTTTACAGTAAGTAAAAGAAAGCTTTTACAGCAAAATGAGTTCTCTGTAGTGCCTGAAGAGCTTCTGTGTGATCTATGTAATTAGTAAAATGCATCTGATTAATGTGTTTAGGCCTCAAATAACCATAAATGAATTAACTAGAATAGCTCCCACTCTTCTGATGCAATGGACAGACTAATGGGACTCTTGTTCAGCTAATAATGTTAGTTCACTACACATTTGGAGTGTATTCAAATTTTTCTGGTATTTCTTCCATAGTAGCAGTGTTTCACATATTTATGATATCTAGAGTTTGGTTCTCTTCTGTGATCTTAAAGCAGTTTCCTATATCACTAACCCTGCAGCCCACACACTGAAGTGTATCTCTGTGAAGTCTGTGGCTGGGTCATGAGTAGAAATTGAGGGAGGAGGAATAGATTTGTGATATAGATGTTGCTATCCTCAATGTGCTTCTGCAATAGGGGATCTTAGTTGGCCACAACATTGGTTAATTATTCCCCTTGGAGGGAATAATTTCCTTTTCCTCCAGCTTGCTCTCTACATCTAGGGATAAGAATAGTACCTTATTGGCTAGACTTGTCCATAGGAAGGTCATGCTTAAAGCCTTGTAACCATAATTACTTACTTATACTTACTTCAGCATAAACAGATTAATTAAATTCAAAGTAATTAGTGCTTCTAGCTTGGGTGTGTAATACCTTTGTGTCCACAGTGCCTTCTAGAATCTGAGCATTGTCTTGCTGGCAAGGATTTTGGCGGAAGATTTTAATGATGTTGAAGTTTACATAGTGTTCTGTAAGTGTCTGTAAGTGTTTAATATTGATGCTTCATTTATCATGTTTTGACACTGCATGCTGCAGAGGATGAGAGTAGAACATCCTTACTCGCCGACTGAGCCTTCTTACTAAAAAGATGTGTTATCTCCAGTTTGGATAAGTGAATCAAACACTTAAACTTTTCTTCTACAACTGTGTTTAACTTTTCTTTCCTTTTTCATTTCAAGAAGTGTCAAGAAGTGGTGTTGAGTTTGCAGTACTATATACCATCCCAGAGGAGGCTCTAAGTAAGTGTTAATGTTAGTCCTGTGCATAAAAATGACTTTCACTGAATTAGGAACAGAATTGCCTTTTCTGGCAATTTTGGTACTTTCATTATTTTTTATTGGGGATTTAAAATCTTATCTGAACTCCTGATTCAATTGGGACTACTTTCTTAGCCATAATTATCCCAACAAAATTTCTTTGAACTCTTAACACAGGATGAAATTCACCACTGCACAGATCAGTAGGCTTGTGGGAATGGATAATAATTCATATAACTGGATCTTGTGGAGACTTCTCATTCTGATGGAAAGACTATTTACATAGTTACACTATTAGTTTTTGTGTAACGTAATTGTGTTCAGTTTCATAGTATCTGTCAGGATTATCCCAGTCTTTGTCTTCCTGAAAAGGAAAAGTTGAGGATTTTGTCTTTTGAGACAAAATATCCTTTTAAAGGAGCATATGTTTTGAATGCCATGATTATCATATAATTGCTTAAGAAAATCGTTTTTGGTTTTGGTGTGCCCTCGTAAGCTGCTTAGCAATATTTTATAGTTTTTACTTGAGGTTCAAAATGCCACTGGAGGACAGATGATATGTTTGTTATACAATATCGTTACAGTCTAATGTGTTACTTCATGGTCTCAGGTTGCTTTTCCTTGAGCAGTTGGATGCTATCAGTTGTCAGTTTCTCATCTATTGTTTCTTTTCCTCAGAACCTCAGCAAGTAGGAGATAACAGAGCCAATGGATTGCATGTGTTAGGTAAGCAACAAAACTCCAGTAGTGATATAAATTATTGGAACAATGTTCATCTGGGGAATTGCAGACAAAGCAGCCCTGAGGAAACGCATAGAGAGCCTTGTTTCAGCCGAGGCTTGAATAACAGCAGCAGTGAAAACCACTGATGATGAGAGGAGAGGTAATCAGATGAGAGGGGAGAAAACCATCTGAAGCCACTATATGTAAGTATTTTTGTATAATTTCTTACACAGTAAATTTGTCATGTCTGATTAGCAGATTGGCATATGTATTTCTTGACACAAGTTTGGTTTTGAAATCTGAAAGTGTCATTTCCCTGCACAACATGAAGCATAAGCAGGTTTTTTCTTTTTTGTTGTAAATAGTTATTTCATATAAAGAATGGGATATCAAATATATTCTCTTATTTTCCAGTTACCTCCAGGTATTTTGATGTGACCAGTATTTTTTTTTTAATGGACACTTTATATAAAGGTAATTAAGACTGGGTATTCATTATTTGTATTTATGGAATTAGTTACTTCTGCTGTTACCTGTAATTGTCATCATTGCCTATGGCTATAACTTACCTGCATCTACACATGAGCAAACAAAATGCTAAAACTGGCAACCGGTGATGCACAATATGCATGGAGATTTATGACATATCAGAGACAAACTTGTTTTATTTATGGTTTATATAGCTTGCTTCTCAGAAAAATAGGGTTGGAAGCAAAAAAGGTGATTGCTTTCTTCTGATGGGTAAAAGGAAAAAGTACCCTTTTTTAGGTGTTTACCTATTTTAGGTATTTACCTACCAAATACTTCACAGGCTCAATTCTGAATGGGACTAATCAACTCCAGCCAGTGGGAAATTAAGAAACAGTACAAAGCTTCAAGACTGTCATGACAAATGGATTAGAAGAAATCATTTAGACTTACGGAAAATTGTTGGGGGCTGAATGCTGCAATGTTTGCTCAGTGTATGTGAGAACATAAAATAGCTTCTCAGTATTTAGGTGAAATTGTGCATCTGGAATACAGTGGATCCCTCAGGTTAGTGAGATCTAGGTTTCAGTCCCTTGAAAAGATGAAAATCTCATCACTTCTTAATAAATAACATTATGAATCTATTTATTATATAAAGTATTCAAGTTTCCTGAGGATTCAGGATCTATGAGATCACTTCAATTCCCAAGATAAATATATTTCTAAATATGTGTTTGTGTACACTGTGTTGTGGCGTAAATGAATGTGCTTTCACTAGACTTGGTGGAACATTCTTAGGGTTTCAGCAGCCAGTTCTTGGGTGGCTCAGTGCTACCCAGGGCTGTTTTGATGTCTGGCTGGACAAGGATGAGAAGAAAATGTGAAAGCAGAAAATGCTGATTGTGAATTTATTCCTTCTGAAATAGAATTAAATTTTAATTTTATTCAATTGAATAACGTTTTTACCAACTTGAAACCATTTGTGAATTGGTGAGCTTAGGCGAATATTAAACAGAATGTTTGACTTCAGACTCAAAATGCTGTTTTGAAATTGGACTTCTAAAAAACTATTTCAACTTTTAAAAATCTAGTGTGCAATATTACATTTGACACGCAGTTATTCACCTACAGAATCAACGATTTAAGCGTATATATATAATAGGAGATTCTGCATGAGTGTTGATTCTTAGGGTCCTCTAAAACGAATTGTCATATAAGAACATGGTTTAAAAACTAAAAGGGTTACTATGTCTGGCATAATAAACCTTGAGACGAAAAGGAAGCAAAAATGTTTCTCCAATATTAAATAGTTATCCAATATTTGAGTGCTCATTTATATTCAGAGCTGTCAAACAGTAAAAACTGATCAAAGATTCAGTCTGAGTGTATCACTGAAAAATGTTACATACCATTTCCTTTCTCAGAACTTTTTACTTCTGAGAAAGGGCAATGCACAAGAGCACGCTTTTGTAGGGCAAGATTTTTCAGCCTTTTGAATACAAAGATCTCCTATGTCACTTAAAATTTGAGGATCAAAATAAGACTATCAAAGGGTTTAAGTGGATGTCTGGAGCTTGGTTTTAATTAGATTTTGTTTGAGGTTTTAGATCTGGTTTGGGGGAACATTGCTATTAATGCAGTACCAGAAGTGGTTAAAAACCTGCATTCAATGTAAAAAGCTAATGCATTAAAGCTCATTTATAAATGTTTCTTTTAAGGTACCCATGTCTCTTTTTAAAAAATATCCTAGGCACTTACAGTTTAATCTTGTTGCAGCCTTGAGCGCAGAGTGCATGTGCTAAGGCTAGCGAGGGCTACACTACCCTGTGGTTTTGCTAAAAAAAAACCCCAAACGTTTGTCCAGAGGGTAACATGAAGGGAATATGCTTCAGTGGCCTAAGGTAGGGTACTGTACTCTGCTGACGTGGGACAGATTTCAGTTTGCCTTGATTGATGGCACAGACATTCAACGGAGATGCTGCACCAAATGCATATGGCTTCTGACTGTGACATCTGACTGTACCTCAGAGGTTAAACACTTGAATTTTGTAGGCACTTGAAAGTCCTGCCTTATTTAAAATTTTGTAAATTTGTGATTGGCCTAAAAGATGTAACTGCCTTCAGTTGTATAATTGTAATGTTTCTTGAATTGCAGCAGGACCAAGAATCCTTAGCCAAGATCATGACCTATGAGCCAGACGCTGCTCATGCAGTAGTTACCTTCTGCTAAGGAAGGTTTACTATGCTTAGACCTGTTAGTTAAGCCAGAGCTATATAGAGCTAAGGGCAGGTTTGTTATGCTCCTTTGTGCAGAATTATTTTGCAGATCCTAGCTGTAGGAAAACAAGTTTTCCTGGATTCACCTGGTCATAAGCAGCTGGTCACTGGTTTCCCCAACAACTTACCACTTGGGGTGGGCAGATCTAGAGCACTGGTTCATGCTCTTTGAATTGTACCCTACAAAAAAGTTTATATTTAAGTTTCCTGAGAGACTGAGTTTTCTTCTGCTCCTATCCTTAAACCTCTATGGCATTTTTCAGTGACTACAAAATAAAAATCGTGATTATTATGTATAGGCTGTTTGTTTTCCTATAGTATTCTTTGAGATATATATATATGTATATAGATGTCAGGATAACTGCAGTCTACTTAATGACAGCCTTTTGGTCCAGTGAATGTGTCAGCAAGGGAAAAAAAGAAGTGTTTCTTTTCATAAAACTGCTTTCAAGCATCCTTGAGGACACATTAAAGTGATCTCCTTAGTCATATTTAATAAACTAATTAGCATGATTGGAGTGTGCATTCCTTCCTTATGATTAGCTCAATGGCACAGAAAGGAAAACTAGGTAAAAAGTCTTATGTGGCACTAAAGACCTTTTTATATTCTGAGCTGGAATACATGACACACTGGCTACAGGCTAGGTAACTTTTAAGTCTTTTGAAAGCAGCAAGGGCGTAATTCAACTTAAGCTCTGACTTTTCTTCGACTGAACTATATAGGTCCTGAAACAGCTTGGGCAGAGAGTCTGGAAAGTTACACTGCTGTTCATCCTGTTTCAGAGGAATCGTTTGGTGCTTTTAGTGTGATGGTGCTTTTTATTCTATGAACACAGATGAAGAAGAAAGCCGAGGACAAGTTTTTCTTTTTATGGAGCCTTAATTTAAATTATTAGTACTTCTAGAGTTTCAAAATTAATTTAACTTCATAGAAGATCAGACAAACTGCACAGCTGTTGTGTCCTGTGGGACTTCCAACTTCATAATACTTTGTTTAGATGCATCTGATTTTTTGGTAACTACTGTATTACCTGAATTTTGGTTAACAAACGTATCTTAAGGGTTAGACTCCCACCTTTGCTTCAGATTCACTGTCTGAGTGTAGCTGAGTGTAGCTGAGCATAGCTGTAGATGCAAGCCATCTTTTTGGCTTGCAAATATTGCCATTCACATTCAGTTTATGTCACATGAATGCAGGTCTTACAGATGGACTGTGTCTGATAACTTTATCTGCAGAGGATTCAGTTTTGTCTGAAAAGTATTATAAATAGCCCAAAAGAAGTCTCGGTAGGACAGTTTAATTTGGGTACTCCTGCAGCTGTCACATTTTAAAATGAAAAAAACTCCCTTGCATCCTTCAGTACTTGCATAGCAAAAATACCAATGGCCAGATTTATTCATTTGGAATCTATAATCTCAAGTTAAAACAAAAGCTTAACAATATAGGTTAATAATATAGGTTTCCACTATATTAAAGATGTATTGCAAGAAGGAGTGATGTGAACGTTATTGATAAATACGAATGTGAGTTTAAAAAATGTCAGCAGTAATGCTCCCTCAGCTTCAGTTTAGCTCTCCTACTTCAGGAGATTAAAACCTGTGAATTTTGTGCAAATTGGTACAGTAGCACTGAAATCAGTGGAACAAGATCATTCGGTATTAGTTCATGATGCTTTTCAGCACTGTTGATTTTGCCACTGTCTGGCAAAATCCCAGAGACTGGACCTAATTAAATAGGGAGAGCTAGTGTGTGCAAAACTGGAGGTTGTTTGGGAGTAAGTGTGGTATGTAAACAGGCAGGTGAGTTGTCTGTAATGCAGCAGGTCAAAACAGTTATTTTAATAGAACAAAACAGTTATTTTAATAGAAAACATCTGTCCTTAGGGAATAGACTGCATTCACCCAGTTCTGTGGATTTTGTATGAACTTCGTTACACTGGCATTGGTTTTTTCCTCAGAAGGGTAATGAGGTATCACTAGCGGTAGTAGCAGTAGCAGCAGCGTGCTGATAGAGAGTTTGCTGTGAAACAAAGATAAAGCACACACAAATGATAATGATCTTCATTTAAGCTTGATACCGAAGAAATTAAGAGAGAATTAGGAGAGAAAAGTTAATGGTGTCGATTTCAATATTTTAAAATAAAGTAGTAATGTGCCCTATTTCTCTTTTTGTGCCCTATTTCTCTTTTTGTGCCCTATTTCTCTTTTTGTGATATATTTGCATTAAAGTCTATTGGCACAATGGTTTTTTTTTTAAGGTTCTGAAGTATGTTGTTCCATGCTGTTGTGCTCATGGTATAAAATAAATGCTGATGGGCAAGCGTATTTTGAAATAATTAAAAGTACATAATGCATAAACCTCTGTTACTATATAGTATGGCTGGCTTTAGCTGGCTAAAGCTTTGGAAGACAACAGCTTTTGGTGATGTGACTGTGATTGTATTAAGATGGAAAAGCAACTGCTACATTCCTTGAAGTTTGAGGCTGAAACAGATGTATGGTGTGGTTATTTAATACTGAGTACAGAACTACAGGCAAAGAGTTCTTCAGCAGAATTGCACAGCTTGAATTCTGTGTTTTCATGTGGATTCGGTGTGGTTTATTGACTGTCTGCTCTTAGTTTGCTTGAACAGAAGTCTTATTTTAGCTATGATGAGATACATAGACGGAGCTCTCACTGATGCTTTCTGATTTCTGATTTATAACTGTTTTACATCAGGCTATCAATCTGTCTCCATTTGCAGATCATGCCATGTTTCCTCCTGTAGGATGATGGCCCTTGAATTATTTGAGAAGTTACCTCCAGTTGAAGACACATTAATGCATTCTATTGGATTCAACTTTTTACAGATTTTGAGGCAACAGATGGCTGTTAAAATGAGTAGGATTTGGTAATAATAGCTTTGAAAATATCCTTTCAAAAGCTGTGAAGTGCTCAAAATGCTTATTATTCCAGTCCTGAAAACAGTGACAAAACTGAGGTTGTTTCTCAGCTTACTCTTAAATATGTGCCTACATGTTTGCAGTTAGGCTTGCAGAAGCCATCTTTTAAAGTTAACCTTTTTAAATGCAGCTAAAGGGAAATCGTGGACAAGATTAAAGAGTTTTCCACCTAAGCCTTATAAAAGTGTGCCTGAAAGGATGGAGGAGAGGCTGGTGAGAACAGATTGGGGAAAAAGGATGATAACAAAGAAAATGAGTCTCTTTAAATGAAATTACTTCTCTGGTCTTCAGACAGCAGCCGAACTCCATCCACACTGAGAT